AAGGCAAGTCAAAGATTTAACCCAACTTGTTTCCTCAGCAGTAATCATTGCTTCATCTCGAATTTTCCCTAAAGGAATAAATTGTTTTCGATCTTTTGGTACTAAAATTTTGATACTTTGTAATGTACTTTCAGCATATAAAACACCTAGATAAAGACCAGGGGACAATTTAGTTTGCCTAGAACACCATTTTTCAACGAAAGTTGACCATATCGGATGAGAATCTTTATGATAAATATTATTTATTTCATCAAAATTTTTCCATTTTAGTGTACCAGCTTTTACAAGATCGTGAGCGATTTCTTCCTTTATACAGCTTGGAACATATTGAAGAGCAACTATGAATTTTGACTTTGATGAATGCATGGTTACAACATGTTCATATATAATGCCCAATGAATCAAGAGACAACTCGCTCTTTAGTTTCAGGGCAGCATGACCAAACGCATTTGTCCATATTGTTTCATCATTTATGTATTGACTAAATGACATAGTATTTGACCCTTCAGGCAAATCACACGTACTCGAATTTGAATGCAAAGAGTGAAATGAATCCGAATCACTTGATGAGTCATTATAAACCTCCTTTGAAGTTGACCAATCTAATGAAGATCTTATCACATGAGCAAATTCTTCACTATCATCCTCAAAATTACCAAAAATTTTTTCGTCACGTATAACTTCAATAGTAGGAAACATTTTACTACTACCAGAAGTTATTAATATTTTATTATCACTAGTGAACAATATTGTGGTCAAGTAAATTGTTTCTGCTTGAACACGTGTCTTCAATGATGTTTTAACGCTTTTAGTACCGCCAAAGACTCCCTTTCGTTTTGCTTGTGCTGCTAAATTCGGATTCAACGTTGTTGGTAAATTTCGCTAATATATATACACATATATATTTTTTAAAATAAATTATTTATTACCAGTAAATTAAATAGATATTAATAGATTTAACAGGAATAATCAGAAAAGAAAAAAAACGGTAAAAGATAAAAAAAAACCTTTTTTGGATTTTCTTCATTAAACACGAGTTCAAGGTATTCAGATGTTTTTTTACGAACTATTAAAGTATCCTAAAGCAAAAAAAAAATAGTAGATAGCAATAGAAAATAAATGATAAGAAATGGATCAAAGATACAGACGGACAGACGGATATGACATACCTCTTCAGGATAAGATGATAGTAAATGTGAATCATATAGCCATGTCTTGAAAAGTTCGCTATATAAGGCATAATTCCAAGAATCATATATTCCTAAAGTTTTGCATGCCTAAACAATACAAAATCAATCACATGACTAAACGTAATTGGTGAATTAAAACATAAAATGAAGCCTACCCTTTCAAGCACAGCTTGAACAGAAGTTCCTTGGGTATAACCAACGTCTATGGGTGTATTACGACCCTCCAGACGTACTTGTATCAGACAAAGACTACAAACGGAACGAATAATAAGTATCTTGAATTCCTGTAAGTAATCTGAGATGTAGAAAAACAACTTACCCTTCCATTTATGAATTTTTATAATATTGATCACCTAGAACAGCCTTCAAGGCAAAAAGGTACGAAAAAAATATTAAAATAAGCCTAAAAAAAAATAGGCATTCCAGCCCGAGATGGGTAAATATTAGGAAAAAAAAGGGAAGAAATTGTTAAAAGAGTGTCTTGAAGTGTTAAATGCTACGTGTAATAGGAAGTAGGAAGAAATAAATTTCAAGGAGGTAAAGTTCAAAAAGCGAGGTAAAGAACTGATATTTACCAACAACGGTCAAATATTTAGAGTACAACTTGACGGATAATTTTTTTCAAAAAGAGTTAATGTGGTCTAAGAAGTGACCAATCCGTTTATTTAAAATTTATTTATCGTATCGTTGCAAATGTAAACAAATAAGATTTGCTCTTTAATAACTACAACCAAAACCTGTGACGAAACCATGTCGCAGAAAATACCTTAATATTAACCATTGTAAAGTTTGTAAAGAAAATGCAAGATATTCAACTTACATATAGGCCCTGAGTTGCTGCATTTGGATTAGAACGTCTATCGAATTCAGGCTATTAACGCATCTTGTAAATCTTGTTATGTCTCATTGTTAACTGTTAATAGTAAAGTATTATCACGTGGTGTGTACTAAAAAAAAGTGATGAATTTGATTGGCCAATAAATGCTTACGTCACCGGATATAACACGGTAATAAAAATTTATGTAACAATATGAACGGAATGCAACGGTATGTAACATAGTAATTTAACGTTTAAATAATTTTAATTGTTTCATGTAAGCATGTCAGCATGAAAGTTATTAATACTTTGTGCAAAGTTTCACAGTATCAGGTTGACTGAAAGAGTGAGTTGCATCCTATCAAATTTTAGTTGTCCGGAGCGAAGCGGAGAACTTAATTTATTTAAGTTATTTTTTTTTTGACGAATTTAAATATAAATATCAAAAAAAAAGTAAGCTGTTGTAGTTTTATTTTCTAATATTAGAATATTTATAATGTAGATATTTCAAAAATAATATAGTTTTTGTCTAACATATGTATGTAAGTCAAAAACAGATCCACAAAAATATAGAATTTAATGTATTTTATGAAGATCATTCGTATTTTAGATAAGAATGTACAACAACCGATAAAGCCAGGAATACTCTATCTTATCGTTTTTATCATTATCATTTGTAAAAGTTCGTCAAGCATTGACTTAAAATTAGGTATGTTCGACTTAATATTGCTT